CTGGCCGGCCTGCCCGGAGCCGGGACCTCACCCTCCGCCTGGCTGGCTTTCCAGAGTTTTCCCACGGGTGGGGAATTTCCCTAGGGGGGTTTTTGTTCTTCTGAATCTTACCTGCATTTTAATTCCACAAGGTTCTTGGCTAATTTCCCCGCCCGCAGAGCCCCGGTGAGTCTCCCCCGGCCCGGAGCTCAGTGGCTTGTGTTCCACTAAAGCAGCCGCCAGAGAAGATACAATGGGGGGCGAAGCCACCCCAGCCCGCGGGAGCTCGTTACAACGGGGCCTTATCCCTGACTGGGCTGTGCCTGGCGTTAACGCCCGCTGCCATGCTTACAAAAAGCACACGAGATCTTTTTATAGGGGAAAAGGCAACACGCTGCATTTATTGAGATTATAGCAGTCAGCATATGGTTTTCAGTCTCACACACACACACATATGCAGTCCGTGATGGGAGCTGTCCCTGTGAGGGGCTCGAAAGTTTGCACTCGCCAGGTGGCTGCCAGGCATTCGCGGTCACAGGGGTCAACATTTATCTCAGCTCCCCGCAATTTCCTGGATTCAGACGCTACCGGCGCCAGTTTTCCCACTCATTATTTTGCAATAGCGAAGCAGCCAAGGCCGTATTGCTGGCAGCCGAGCGAATAACAAGAGGTTGTGATTCCTCGGGAAAGCGGAGGGCTGGAGCTGCGAGAGCCTTTTGCTTTAAAACCTTAAAGCAGCGTCCTGCTCCTCTCCCCACTCCCATTTGGCCTTTTCCTTTAGCCATCGCCACAAGGGGTGAGTGATTTCAGCATATGTATAAATGGGTGGGCTAAGGAAATGGAATCCTCCTAGCAGAACTCGTAAAGAGTGGGCGTCGGTAGGGGCCGGCATTTCTACCAGTGCCCTGACCTTCCTGTGACCTACCTGTCTCCCTTCTTGTCCAGCAACTGCGCCCAGGTGTGTAACCGGAGGTAGCACCAATGGAGCCTTGTCTCGGGCTACTTTGACCCCCGTTTCCTGAACTAATGCAAAACTTTCTCCGTTAGTGTTTGAGTTTGTGCCTCAGTTTCCTGTCTGTTACTTGCAAGGCATGAATGAAAAGGAAATGGCTAATGCTAGTATCCACTATCCTATTCATTATTCTAACACTTTAAGTCTTAGTATAAAACACACACTGTATATAGCCAAAACATAACCAGTTATAGAGCCCAGTACCCATGGTACAACACCGTGCTCGCTCCTTGCCCTGCCTTCCTCTGCTAGATGCAAGAGCCCTTCCCCGCCCCAAATACTCTCCCCCCGAGACAGGCCAGTCCTCGCTTACAGACAGCCCCCCAGCCTGAAGCAAATACTCACCAGCAACTACACACCACACAACAAAAACACTAAGCCAGGAACCAAACCCTGCAATAAACCCCGGTGCCAACTCTGTCCACATATCTATTCAAGGGACACCATCAGAGAACCTAACCACATCAGCCACTCCATCCGGGGCTCGTTCACCTGCACATCTACCAACGTGATATATGCCATCATGTGCCAGCAATGCCCCTCTGCCATGTACATTGGCCAAACCGGACAGTCTCGATGCAAAAGAATAAATGGACACAAATCAGATATAAAAAATTATAACATTCAAAAACCAGTCGGAGAACACTTCAATCTCCCTGGACATTCAATAAGAGACTTAAAAGTGGCAATTCTTCAACAAAAGAACTTAAAAAACAGACTCCAATGAGAAACTGCAGAATTGGAATTAATTTGCAAACTGGACACCATCAAATTAGGCCTGAATAAAGACTGGGAGTGGCTGGGTCACTACAAAAACTAATTTCCCGCTGCTGATACTCACACCGTCTTCTTGTCAACTGTTGAGAATAGCCCACTTCCACCTTAATTGAATTGGCTCGTTAGCACTGATCCCCCACTTGGTGAGGCAACTCCCATCTTTTCATGTGCTGTGTATTTATACCTCCCTACTGTATGTTCCACTCCAGGCATCTGATGAAGTGGGTTTTAGCCCACGAAAGCTTATGCCCAAATACATTCATTCGTCTCTAAGGGCTTGGCTACACTTGCGAGTTACAGCGCATTAAAGCAGCCGCGGGTGCCCTAGCTCACTCCCCGTCCACACTGGCAAGGCACGTAGAGCGCTCGGATTCCGCAGCTACAGCGCTGGTGGTACTGCACCTCAGCAAGTGGAATAACGTTTGCTGCACCTTGGCTACAATGCCCGGGCGCCAGTGTGAACGGGGTGTTGCATTACTGCGCTCTGATCGGCTTCCGGAAACAGCCCATAATCCCCT